TTTTTTTACATCCATAGGTAAAAACCCAACCCCGAAAAAGAAAGCGCTAGGCTATTTCTCTTACTCATGGAAAAGAAAACTTTGCCGAAAAAACGGAGATAGAGATAGAGTATAGTTTGGGTGCTTCAGCAAAGAAAATAACTGAGACCGCATGTTTGGACGCCCAGATTATTCATGGGATGGGATAAAAATTCGTCCTGACTGGCTAACAACCTATGTTTGGGGGTACCAGCAGTTGTAGTAGGTTAGATAAGAAATGTCCTACATTTTGTCCAATCCTAATTCAATGAGATAAAAGTTATCTCTTCTCTCCATGGACAACTCGGGATGGGATTTATTTTTTCGCCAGACTCAAAGTAAAATCCCTCTCTTGCCCCTTGCTCAGCCTTTTATCGTGGTCGACCTCCCAAGCTCTGTTTCGGCCAATCGTAGCATATCGGTGCCACTCCGCCGTTGAGGTTTGCTTCGTCAATCCTTTGGAGGTCTCGGATCTACCTTCTTCTTTCTTGTTTCTGGTTTCTTCATTAAGTACAAAACTCAGATTATTCTCTTTTTCTCACTTGCAGTGATTCTTGTGTATTTTCATCTTCTCTGGCACCGAGCTACTCACCGGTAAGCCCCTAATCCTTATCTATGTTTTCTATGGATTAGATTTTGTTTTGTTCTTGATTTTGATATGTGTATTTTGCTCTAATTTTGATTATCCTATGGGATTTTGGCTTGATTTTCTATCCTTCTTACTTTGTTGTGTTAATCAAAGCAGTGTTAGGGAATCTCTTCGTTCTAATGTAAGTTGGAGTTGTCTTTTTTCATTCTGGTAACTTCTTGTTGGCTGGAAAATGATTTGTTGTTGCTGGATTTGAATTTTAGCATTTTTGGTAAATTTGAGACATCCATCTCCAAGTTCGAAGGATCGTGCCAACCCAGTTTTGTTGCTTTTATATTTTATTGTACTGCATCAACAAGCGTTTATAATCCTTGATTGATTGCCTTTTTAGTGATTATTTCAATTTAAAGTACCAACACTCCCAGTATAACATTAAACCAAGCAACTGATGTTGACTGTTAGGTATAGATTAGGATAGTTTAATTTTATCGTTAAGGAATTTTTGTTCTGGTGGACCAAATTTTACATGATATGCAACTATCAGTTTACCATGTTAGTTAGTGCCCATACAAGTAAAAATTTTCCTTCGTATAAGATCATTGTTTGAATTTTTGTGCTTACACATTGAGATACTGCCATTTAACATGCTGGTAGTTCAGTTCTTCTCAAAATTTGGATAATGATCCTCAAAATCTTCTTCAGCATTCCTCTTATCTTTTGATATTAGGCCATCTAGAAGATTGAATCTGTGGTGTTGGAGAAAGTTCAATATATTTCCTTGGTACTTCGTTCTCAGCACGTTAAGATCGAAACATAGAAACAAGCGGATTAAGGGAATGCTGGTTAAATCAAACTAAATCCAAAATAAACTGTAATGTAATATTGTTTACTTTTCCTTTCAAAACTGATATTTCAATTGGAAACTAAATTAAATTCCAAATATTCCATTCCTAGGACTCATGTATATATCTCTGCTTGTCTCATGTACTCACTCAGTGGACATACTCATGTATAGAGTACAATACATGTACACAAAGAAACACAATATTAAGTAGAAAAGGATATTGACAAGTACAAACTCATTTACAATAAAGGTGAAACAGAAGAAATGTTTATGTGTTTTAAACTTGGTTTTGTCATTTTTTAATACTTTTTTTCAAATAGCAAGAGGAACTTAAATTTTCATCTTTCTCTTTCTGTCCATTTTTATCCTTGCCAAGCATAGATAGAAGTCACTTCTGTTTTTCCTAATCTGTTTTCTGTCCATTTCAAATTCCTTTGCTTTGAGTTGCTTACCAAGGTTTTTACTAATATGTTTCTGTTCTTAGTGTTTTACCAGTTCTTTGCCTAAAATTCTGTCACAATAATTGAGTTAAGCAAGATGTATCTTAGTTGCAATGAGCATATTCCTGGAGCAACAAATAATTTGGGAGTTTGACTAAGAGGAAGCATATGCTTTTGTAAAGGACTTATTAGAAAAAATCATATGGTATATGGATAATGGTGACTATTTTAAAGGATTGGTACTATATATGAATAACTATTGATGGTGGATTTGGCAATTAGCTTGCACTATTTTTATGAAATTTTTATGTTTATTGTTTTGAAGACCTTAGAATATGAATTTCATTATTCTCATTCTACATTATATTCTTTCCATTTTGTTCTTCAAGCTACAAAGATTGTAGTTTTTTATTTAAATTTTTTTTATGAATTATTTTGATAAATTTGACTTATTTATTTTTTTGCCTTTGTAATTTATGATTTTTTAATGTACAATTTATTTGACTTATGAATTTATATATTATATAAATATAATACCTTTGACAATTAAAGAAGTTAATTATTTTTATGAATTAACATATTTTTATTTTTTAAAAACATTTTATCCAACAAATTTGGGTAAGTGAATGAAAGTTTTCAAATATTTTGAACTTAATGGCATTTTTGTCCATATGAAAAATTTGTAGAAGCTACCTTGTCTAATCCTACCAAGTTCCAAACTAAGTATAGGATTAATTTTTTATACAATCCAAAGGAGTGCCAAACATAGGATGTGACTCTTATTATCTTTTCCATTCCAATCTTGTTTTATGCTAATGTTTTTATCTTGTCCAGTCCTATCCTAACCTACATTCCAAACGTGCACAGAGAGAAAAAGCGTGAAAGAAAAGGCAGCTGCTGTAAGAAAAAGAAACAGTGGAAGAAGGGGGTTGAGGGAGAAGGAGCAGAAAAGCTGGGTTTTGCAGTTTGAGGTATTTCTATTAACTTCGATTGATTGCTTTTTATATAATGCCAATGTTTATGCCTTTGATTGGTTTGAATTATGGGAAACTGAATTGTTTTCTATTAATCAGCCAGTACCAGGAAAAGGTTTTCCGTTTTGGTTTTGGTTCTTCTTTAGTGAGGGAAGAATGTGTTGAGCCAAACAGAATGTTTATTGGGCTTCAGAATTGTTTTGGTGACAACCGGAAAGCTAAAACCTTTGTCTAATTTGGCTTATTTTGCTTCATTTTTATGACATTTTAGGAACAAATGACTACTTGAATGCATTACACATAGGACTTGGACAGTTAGATTATGATAAATAAAATGGAAAGAGTCCAATCCTTATATCATTTACATGCTAATATAGTTCTATGTAAAAACTGCACAGTACAAAAACCCATAGTTTCACTTACGGCAGCACTTGCTGTTTCTTTACATATAGTACATAGCTTTTTAGATCAAACAGTGAGCCAAGTCTAGGTTTTGGGCAGAGTTCAAATTTGTCTGACCAAGGTTGGCTCTAGGCCTGCACTTGGATTAACAGATGTTTCCTAGGCTCCCAAAATGTGTATGCTGCCTGTAGTTAATTTCTACTTGTAACAACAGCGAAATAATAATTCCATAAGCTGTAAAGCCCAGTAAGTCTAGTAAAATATTTAACTTAACTTTCACAACTTAAAAGGTAATCAAACCAATTTTTGGTGCTAAGCTGAAACACAATCTGCTCTACTCGAGCAGAGCCTATTCCATCAAGTTCTGTTCACTAGCACTGAACAGTTAAATAGGAGAATTCCCTCCATGAAAATCATTACTTAAGATTTATAAGAAAAACAAAGCAACAAGATAATTCTATGCTTGTCAAAATATTCACATGAATGTATGTTCTTATCTATGGATTTTTCCTTGTGGGTGTAAATCCCACATACCAGTGGACTAGCCATGGTTCTTCCTACTGTGCAGTGGATCTAGATATCTTCTTTCTTTACTCCAAATACGTTAGGAGCATCATTCTTTTACTCCAGGTAACTTTAGGAGTATCTTACCTAGCCATTAGCTTAGGTATCATACCATAGATTCTATGCAGCATGTATAATGATGCATTCTCATCTCATGTAATGCATATGCATTGCATACTAGTTGAATGTTCATCCCCTGTACAAG